CATCAGTTCTATTTCATATTTGTTTTGTTTTTCTTTGTTCACAGCTACTCAGAGTTACCAGGCTCCGCCAGGCAACAAGAGCCGAGCTATTTCCCAGTGCAGAAATGGTGATTTCAATGAGCCGTGAGTTTGGTGTCCCATTAACAGCAGAGGACTTTGGAGGTACGTGATGATCACACTTAAAAAGGCGCCCTTGTTCTCTCCCCTCATTTCGGTTATTACAACAATATGTGCACATAGACAACACATAAAACATCCATTTTAACAAAAGTATTGCTTAAAAGATTGCACGAGGTCAAACACGTCTACACCTGACGGCCGCCATCTTGGATGTTGTTGTCATCCAAGATGGCAATTTTTTAATTTGCAATTCTGTGACGTCTCGTGAAACCGAAGAATATTTATAGTAGCAATGTCAGTGCGTATGTCAACTTTTGCGTGTGTTTATATGTTTGTATTAACATTAATTTTACTGTTTGGTCAAGAACTTGAACTTCCGCAGTTCGAAGATAATCTAGTTCGACGTGGAGGTGCGATCGAGGAAAAGAAGACTTCGAGAGTCTGGACACCAATCGCTGATGTCAATGAATCRTACGAACAGGTTTTGAAGGAACGACTGAACACGTCTGCTCCGGAAAGAGACTTTATCAAAGAAAATATCGTAAGTGGCATGCGCAGTGTCTGTTAGTTTATGACAGTCGATCCATCCATGAAGTTGCATCTTTATCCACCCTTCTCACAATAAACAGCCCTGAACGTTAAGGCTACCAGTGCACCTTTTGTCGGAGCGATGCTCTTGGTAACTCAATCCTTATCTTTTATATATTTTTATGTCTTAAATATTTCTATTTTTTCCAGATGAAAACAAAAACCGCAAGTCGAGAACGTCCAAAGACAATCGCTGTTGATACCTGCGAGCTATTYAATCAAACCGCTCACAACTATAGTATACAAACTCTTAATTCTACGGAACTGGCCAAGGAAAAGCTAAGACGAATACTGTCAAAGGTTAGGAAGAATTATGTATTTTTATGAGGTTCAAGACTGTTTTTAGACGGTGGTCTTTTTTACTTTGCACTTCCTATGTTAAAGTTCCATCCCTCCCTTTGCACATTTCAAACTATAGTCTCTATAATTATGCACGATTTCTTTTTTCAGGAAGAAAAGCATCGCTTCACATACTGCCTTCAAAACAAYAGCGCTATCGTTCTTCCCGTTGACCCAGAAGCAGTCAAAAAGACATCAAATCTTGAGTCAGTCCAAAAATGGCGGACGGAAGATGGCTTTGTGTATCCGGGCAAGAAAACKTCTCTACAGTCGAACGCTCACCCTAAGAAACCAGACAGTGCTCGATTAGATGAATTRCACAAGGTACCAGCCATTGATACACTTATATATATKCATTAACTTCTGTGAAGTGTTGTCATGTTCGTTATCGGTCATATAAAAGGAAATAGAATCCTTGCTTCATGTAACCACTATTTTCTTGATYCCAGCCTTGGAAAGAAAATATTCTTCATGCAAACAAGCTTAAGCCAACAGTGAACAGGTAAATTTCATAAATAGAACAGTTTAAAATATGTTGCGATATGTGGTATCAGAACGTGCAGCGCCGTGCCATCCGCTGGAATAATCAAATCTAATTTGCATCTCATTTCCTTATTTGGAACAATTAAATTTACCCTATAGGCAACCAGAACGGGCCTTAAATCTCTTATCTAACGGCCGAATTTTCCAAATATGGTCATAACGTTCGTTTTCGAATTTTTAATGAGCTTTCAATATTCCGACGCTACACGTTTCAAGTCCCTTAAAGGGACACTGTCAATGGATGGCATGCGCGAGTAAACTTGAAAACACTAGGCTAGTGTTTTCAAGTTTATGACTCCAAGTTGGCGAGAGCTATATAAACAAAAGTAATTTGGATTTCGCTATATACACATTAATTGATATACCATGCATTAATTTTTCATTAAGTAGAGAAAAAATGTAGAAGTGCGATAAAATGTCAGTTAAAACAATTTGATTGAGCGGAAAGATTTACTGCTCTTGTACGCGGCGTAGAATGATGTCTTTTTNCTTCATGTAACCACTATTTTCTTGATTCCAGCCTTGGAAAGAAAATATTCTTCATGCAAACAAGCTTAAGCCAACAGTGAACAGGTAAATTTCATAAATAGAACAGTTTAAAATATGTTGCGATATGTGGTATCAGAACGTGTAGCACCGTGCCATCCGTTGGAATAATCAAATCTAATTTACATCTCATTTCCTTATTTGGAACAATTAAATTTACCCTATAGCCAACCAGAACGGGCCTTAAATCTCTTATCTAACGGCCGAATTTTCCAAATATGGTCATAACGTTCGTTTTCGAATTTTTAATGAGCTTTGAATATTCCGACGCTATACGTTTCAAGTCCCTTAAAGGGACACTGTCAATGGATGACGTGCGCGAGTAAACTTGAAAACACTAGGCTAGTGTTTTCAAGTTTATGACTCCAAGTTGGCGCGACATAAATCAGATTGTAAACGTAAACAGATCTAGAATATTCCAAAGTGTGTCAAAAGCACCACAAAATGATTTACCTCGAAGGTTATACTTTCAAGGTCCCTTAGAGGTGAGACTGTTACTGCGCATGTCATCCATTGACAGTGTCCCTTTAAAGGTTTCTGGTGATTTCTATTGCCAAAATACACACATGTCCAGGACTGGTATCTTGTCCCTCTAACCTTGACACCGTCAATCCCTAGTTCATARTACRTTKCTCAATCCWRYCATCTCTGTTGTTATAGGGATATCTTCCCCTGGCCATACCGAGATAAAGATTTCAACCTYCAYCTCGAAAACCGTGATATTCCAATAGTGCGATCGATTCACGCGGCGGGAGACATCAAAGAACAAGAGCAACAGCTTGCACAAGCCTTACAGGCAGAGACGTGGCGKAGCAAAGTAGTAGTCGAGAATCCAATCTTCCGTACACATCGATGCTTAACAACTACTGAACTACACGATCGCGGGCCACGAGCCTCAAATCAACTTGCTAAGCTAAAAGGACTTCTGAAAGATCCACCTAGAACGTTATCTCTCAAGAAACCTGGCATTACMCTAGGGGAAATACCATCCCTAGCAGTAGTAGGTAATCMAAGTGACCAGACACTTGAGAAGACCTCTCGGGAGCTTAGACGTTCYCGTGTAGTCGAYCCAGGACCTCCMGGTTATAATCCGGGACCTTTTGAAAATGAAGGSTGGCTGCTGGAAAAGAATAAAATACCGATWCACGATCGTGAACACAAGAAATATAAAGAYCTAAAGGGACARGACTTTTGGTGAGTTTAAACTTTGATAATACCCACTAAACTTCTAAAACAAATTAACCTTATGTACTATACTCTCAAACATTCCTCTGAATGCTTTTGCCTGCAACTGCTTTCAAGGTAGTTTTATGGAAGGGATAGGATAAGTATTGACATACTCAGATTACCTGACAGGCCTGAACGACCATCAGGATACTCTGAGTACGAATGACATACCTGGAGAAAAATACTGGTGCACAAAGAAGAACAACCAGTTTTATAAGTCGAATCACATGTGATTCACGGGACAAGACCTATATGATGACATATAATAAGAGCTGATGTTTTATTCATCATTATTATTTACGGAAAACTGTTTGTATCTCCACAGGTTATACCACAAAGAAAGGGATGCATTGTACCGAAGACGAATTGCACCATTATTAAAAGACGAAAGAGACAATAATCTGTTTGCTGTAGCTGATACCTGCAGTTAATATCGACATCAATCAAATAATTCAATTTAGCTATCAATCTCTTATAGCTAT